TGTGTGTGTGTGTGTGTGTGTGTGTGTGTGTGTGTGTGTGTGTGTGGGTGGGTGTGTATGTTCGTCTGGCCGGCAATTCAACTCGGAAACCAACCAAGTTCCAGCGCCAAGATTTTTTAGTAGATTCCCAGGCCAAACGCCACCCCAGAACTTCAGTGCTAACCCTCAAGTAATTCTGGGCCTTGCTTGCGAAGGGGTGAAAGTCTTGGCGGAAAACTGATAACTCAGGAACGAGAAAAGATAGAAAACTGAAATTTTGAGGTTATGTTCCCCGTCCACATATAACTCAAAGATACCACATTCAGCCCTCAGGCATGCGTGGCTCCGACGTACCGCCCCATGAAATTTTTTGGCGGAAAAATGGCTAATTCGGGAACTAGGAAAGCTGGGAAGCTGAAATTTTCAGGGAATGTTCTCAGCACATGTGCAAATCAATGTTACTAAATTTAGCCCCTTTCTGTGAGTGGTTCCCACGTACGGCCCCGAGAAGATTTTTGGCGGGAGAATAGCTAACTTGAGAACTAGAAAGGCCGGAAAGCTGAAATTTTAATGGAATGTTCCCTATCCAAATACCGCGTAATAATTAACTTCCCGAGCTTCAAGCACAAGTATTTCACAAATTCTTGCTAATGAGTTTCCGAGTGATCTCATTACAGCAAGAAATACTGCAAAAACGCACGATCGCACGGGCCCAACCGGTGCGCGTCGCCAGTGCGAGAAAAAAGTTTTTTTAGCCAACTCTCGCTGTTTTTGTTGACAGGGGCACTGACATTCAGACTATAGGCGAACGATTCTGTTTGTCTTGGAGGACAAAATGTTTTAGGAAGACGTTGCCATTTCAACAGCTTAAACATAAGTGGTACTTTCTCTCGCTTCTTGAATAGTCCTCTTCTGAGTGAAGCAGATTCGCGGATTTGCGGAGGCGCCAAGCCACTGATACTTGAACGTGCGCTGCCATTCTCGCTGTTATTATCCGATTTTGATTCGACTCTGAAAAATGTTTCACCTTACGCTATGAAAGAAAGCTACATAAATGCGCACCAGGCGTGCATCTAAGGTGCATGATAATTTTGTGTCATTTCCCAATCAGTGAAGGAATGGAAATTAAATGTACAAAACTATGTATCTGGAAAGTTCTGTGAGAAAAGGTGCTTTCACAAAATTTGAGGCACGCATTCTTGAATTAACTATAGGGCAAAATTTTCGAGGCATTTTAACTAATAACAACAAGTTTTTACTACCCAAAATTATATCCAATAAGAAAGCATTGCTCTCTTCTGCTCTCCTGTTGCTATTTTGGTAGATGTACAAATCAAATGGCTATCAGGATTCTGCATTAAGCATAGAAAATCATTCGTGCTGATTACTGTGAAGTTATATCTAACAAGTAACAAAATTTTGGATTTTATATGCAGCGGCAATCTTTAGAGACTAGTGCCACTACTTGATTTTTCACATTCGTAGGCAAAAATGGGATTGGAAAATTATGTCCAAAATTCTGTAACAAGTAACCAAGTCCGACGGATTAATCACAAAACACATAACGAACACTCGGCTCAAAACTAAGAACAGACATCGGGGCACAGTGCAGACAATGCTATGGCTCAATAACTGGCTACATGAGGGAGGCATGCAACCAAGTGAACAGCTGTTCCCATGGATTCAGTACGTG